AGTCTTGTTGCACATTCATCCAACGGGAAAGGATGCAACGACATGATAATGCAGTAGAGCAATACGCGCCTGAGTCGGATTTGCAATTTCACAAATCCTTCACTCACCGTCAACTTGGTAGCCGTCTCAATATCATGGCGGTTCATCCATCTATGCTGCCTTCCAGTCACCAGGAAACCAACTTATGCGAATGAAGGAGTGGCCACCGACGTCGACCAAGCACCAGGAGCGAGGGTGGAAGAATATTGAGTGCGAGGAAGAGGAGGTAGGCGAGTGGGTAGCCGAGGATGTCAGTAAGAGCAGCAGCTCCCAGGGCAGCGAAGAGGAGTTTGCCCAGCACCTCGGCGGTGGAGAGGATGGTGTAATGAGTAGCGCGCGCACCCTCCACAACCTCGCTTCGCGTGCATTCCATCATGAGGGTGAAGACGATGGTGGTGATGGCTCCACTCACCACCACAGTTGTATTCATCAGTCCCACGCCTGCAGCCAGACATAAATTTTCCAACTTGCGCTGCGTAAGCCCACATTTGTGTCTTCAGGGGAATGCCCTCATTTTGACACAGGTATGTTTTGGGGGTTCCCCTTCGACCTCTACTATTCTACCACCAAAAGAAGGGTATAAAACCCTTTTAATCACGCCTAAGCAGCTATTCATCCAACTCCTTCTTACATTTACTATGAAGCTGACCCATCATTTACTCATTTTTGACTCGGACACATCTCACCAGTCGAATTTCATTGGATCAATCCAGCTTCTGTGGCAGCATGTGACAAAATAGATTCCCTCTATACTGATCTTCAGGAACGCTCCTGTATGATAGATGGCTTTATTGGTTAATAAGTAAGATATTTTCCAGAAGGTAGGTAAGCAGACCACTTCTAGACAGAGGTAGAAAAGTGGGTCAGATTGACTGCCAAGATATCATTGTACGAATCATAACTTTCCCGAAAGTGTTTCGAAATCAGTTGTTCTTAAAACGAGTACGAAAACTGTAAAAGCAGTCGACTTTGACAGCCATAAGCACAGACGCAAAAGGGGAATACAATCAAACAGGAGACTCACAACCGTTCGACTATTTCTCTACGGTGACCAAAACCCCATCGGGCTGCAACAAAACCTTTTCCATACCACTGTTCTAAAGTGCGAATGACAATGACAAGTTCTACAATCAAAAATACCCATGAAATTTTACTATCAGAATGGGTTTATTAGTGGGAAAAACAAACATTTTGATTCCATAAATAAAAAGTACAAGTTTTAAGGAGTGAAAACCGCATTTGGTTTTGGGTGCTTCTACATTCACCTTCCATCGTTTAATTAGTACATGGAAGGCGGCCTCTACACAAGGAAGGAATCATCAGTGTGGCTAAAACATCTCACTGACAGTTCATCGTCTCACATCGGGTCACTTCATTATTGCGGTGAGATATTTGTCTTGATGCTTGGTAAGCCGTGATTCTTCGAAACTGCATATCCTCATGAAGGATTGGGCGATGGAGTGGTTGGCTTAGCCGTTACCGCAGAACCCTTTGTCTCTTCCAGCTCTTCCAACTCCATCATAAGATAATGTTACACGCCGATGAAGCAATGAGGAGCAAGAGGACAGAATGCACGGATGGAACATTCTCTAGAAAGATTTTTTGTGTTGCGGACTGGTGACAGCAACGCCAGTGACGGGAGGTATTGCAACATTTACAACATTCCGGTTTTGGAACTTCGTATCCACAGACACTCATCGCCAGCATTTCCTACCACCTCGATTGATGGTGTCTGAACCGAATTGGCACACATCTCTAATTGCATATAATTTCCCTCACCAGTCCACTTATTTACTCCGGATCCATCTAACCTCCAGAACTTCACTCCGTATTGTGTATTCAATTCAGCAAACAGAATTTATTTTTGGAAAGTAGAATCCCCAGATCTCAAGTACACTTCCTGCAGATAACATTGGCCCTATCCCCATCTCCTTTCTCCTGCATCGGGTTATAAATTATCAGATTCTGTTTTGCCGCCTGCCTTGTAAATACGGAGGGGTGTTGACCTACTTTTTGCTACTCAACTGGCCCCCTCTTTCCCAAATTCAAAAGTTTCCTTTGCAATTTTGCTTTCCATTATTTGCAGAACAGTTGAGGAATCACCCACTTGCTTCTGCCTCAATGCCGTATTTTCTGCCATTACACATGTTGAATACCGTCTTATGCGTATGTGGCATCAAGCAATTACATCGAAATCGTGTAGATTTCCATATGGCTCACCACAAAGACCGGCACGCTATTACTTGAGGGGGAAGGTGGGTGGAGGATTTAAAATGGTATGTGATTGTCCGCAGACGTGCACCGTAAAGTTTAAAATTGCCTCGGTCTCTCGATGTGGCACTCTCTATTACGCTCGCCTGCCACCTTTCTCTTGCATTCAAAACCTTACTCCCTTTCATCAAATGACGCCTAGCTGTACCAGACGGGTGCGATGCCAGAATGTCCGGTTGATGAAATTAAATTTGGCCCCACAGCTTAACAAGGCAGCAGCTAGCTGTGACCAAGCCGAGTGCACCGTTTAGAAGTAGTCTAAACACTTTGAGATTCTGACGATGAACCATCAATGAAATGCCTGTGCATCAAGTTTAGAGAGACCGTCCATTAGGAATAGAAATGGGTAAGTACGTGCAATCATTGACAGTACGCAAGTGGTGGCCACAGGACTGGTCGTCTTTGACATCAGCTGGGAAGGGAAAGGAGGGGCGAAACCTGAGTGCATATCCTGACAATGGTAATAACAAGCTCAAGAGCTATCATCTAGTTCTCCACTTGCCTGATGTTCACACGGGTGCCTAAAGTGGACATTTAGGTTAACAAGTATACCATTGGTGATCCCCAATCCCACTACCTGTCGCTCTCCCAAGACAAGCACCAGGCAGGAGTTCACCTGCTTCTGAAGACAAGTCTTTTTCTCTTTGAATATAGACGACAGATTGTGATTTTTCCAAAAAACATTATAATTTGATGGTTTTTCACAGTCGGGCAATGCTTATTAAAAAAAGCCATACGAATTCATCTGGCCATTCTACACTCCACTCAACTTCATTGTGTATGCCAGTACAAAAGAAAACAACTTTCCGCTGCTATTCCTTCCTTCCATTTTTGCTTCCTACTATGATTTTGATTAAATAGACAGATTATTGCATCAAAAATTGACAGATGGTGACTACAATTCGTGCCTAGATTTCAAGAAGATTGGCTTAAGTAAATCAGATTTTGAGGTACCGGCTTTCAAGTGCACTAGCTCAGGCTGTAGTAGACCTTTTTTTCACCTCTCACCATTATAGCAAAGAGAGATTAATTTTCCCACTCACTTTTGTTCCACCTTTTTCAAAGTTTGAGTTCCTTGGACTGGAGAGGTTGCTAAGTACCCCGTGGGTCATCTGCGGGTAACTCTCATTTTAATGTGGTTTTGACAAAAAGTTTTTAATATCTTTAAAGAAATTATATGGTGGGGGAAGGTAGCGTAGTGAAGTTATATTTTAGAAACAGTGGCTGACAGGATCCCAGGGGAAAATAGTCGAACGTAGTCAAGGGATCCCATTGTTGCAGTACACGATACAGATTCTTCCATCAACAAACTGACCATCTACAACTGCAGTTATACACAGCCATGGTACATCATTCATCCCATTTTGATGTCAGTCAGTCTGTTTTGGCACAATTTGAAGCAATTGGTTATCATAACCGAGCGA